AGGATACATGTCTTTCTCTGATTGACTTATTTCACTCAGCATAACACCCTCCAGTTCCATCCACGTCGTTGCAAATGGCAAGATCTCATTCCTTTTGATGGCTGCATAATATTCCATTGTGTATATGGACCACATCTTCTTTATCCATTCATCTGTCGATGGACATCTTGGCTCTTGCCACAGTTTGGCTATTGTGGACATTGCTGCTATAAACATTGGGCTCACATACCCCTTCGGATCCCTACATTTGTGCCCTTGGGTTATATACACCCAGTAGTGTAATTGCTGAAGATCCCTGCTTCTAATTACAGACCCTCCTCCCCGCTCTCTGTATGTGGTTCCAGCAGCATCCCCACTCCCCTGCCCTTTGTCTGCATCTGTGATCTGTGAGCGTGACTAGAATCACACAGTATAACTGTCTTCTCTCTTCTGTTGCATGAACTCCTGACCACGTCTCCTCTCTTTGCTCCTCCTGTGAACATTGCTCCCCACCATACCTCCCATGTCGAGGGCAAAAGTCTGTTAACTAGACACGTCCCTTAATTCACAAAGAAGAGTATTACAGTGGCTGGTCTGCCCTGAGATTTCAGCCTGGTGAAAACTTTGGAACCCGGCGTGAAAGCAGGTTTTCCGTGTGACCTAGGTCCTTGCTTAGGCTCTCTTATCAAATTCTTCTCATTTATAATAGATTCTTCTCTACTCTGGTAGGCTTCTTCCCGGGCGGCCAGTGCCGTTGAAAACTCATTGGTATGCAGGAGACCCAGTCAACATGCTTAGCCTCACCTCCAATAAAACTGAGCCAATATGTGTCTTTTTCTACACTTTGGAGGACAATTTATTTCTAAGTCAACTCAGAACTTGGTATTTCTCTGAATCAACTGAGTTTAGTAATTTCGTATAAATTCCAACTGCAACAATATAGTTTACATAACTATGAACAATATTTGATGTGTTTCTTTCTCTTGAATGCCAGGAGTTTCAGCTATTTAAAATTACAGGAATGCATGCAAGAACTCTCATACATTTACATAGAAACCACTTGATTATGGTATTTTTCTTGAAAATAGCCTACTTCTGTATGGTGTTCAGTTGACTCGAGTTTTTTGAACTTCTCGATAGAAGAGTAATAAAGATGACCTTGGGGAATGTTTAAATAATGTTTATGAAAAATAAATCTTAAATATTAAATCTTCTTTTCACAAGTGTATAAAACTTAGGAAAATTATATGTATAGGGTAATTCTAAACCTTTTGGACAGGAGTATGTATGCGTATGTATGTATTTCTGTGTATATTATGTGTGTATATATCAATACCTACTTTTCATCTATATAAGTATATACATATAAGGATAGAAATATGTACATATATTAGAACATATGTGCATTCCTGTATGTACACATGTATTATATGCGTATATCATTTATCTGTTCTTGTATATATATATATATGTATATATATGTCTATGTATTGTGTCTTTTACATATTTTAAAACACATACAGATGTTTACACTTTTTTCCTTTTAATTCTTTTCAGTGTACTCACGATTTACGGAACGATGCAGAGACTCTTCCTAAATTGTTAAAGCGATTTTACGTAAATAGTCAGAAAAATGCAGAACATTTAAGTAGAAGTGTTTTCACCCAATCACTTGAACAGAAAATGTTCCATTGTCTGACACTAGCTTGCATAGTATCACATTCTTTTTTCACTGGAGGAAGACTGGTTTATTAGGACCATGATGCATTCTTGGAAATTAGGACCTTATGAACTAGGTAAACTCTACCTCTGAAACTAATAGAAAGAAAAGTGTTGTACACAGCCACAAAAGTCTGTGTAACTCAGTTGAAAAGTCAGCACTAATACTTATTAGGCACTTGTAGGTGACAGTTGACTTTGTATGAACTTTATTTTTCTAGACTTATTACAGAATTAAAGTAGTCAGGAAATTTTATAGAAATTGAAAGGAATTTTGATTTTTCAGGAAGCTGAAATGATTGAGAAAGAGCATTTTTTTAGTACAAAGAGCACGAGAGAGAGAGAACCTATAAAAACTAATTTTTTAGGTTTCAGTAGAGATGTTTTACAACACATTTGTTATTATTTCCAGTCTTTAAAAGTAATTATATCTTGCAATGACTTCAGTACGAGGAGCTACGGAAAATTAGACTTGGGGCGGGAGTGGGAGGAAGCAAGAATACTAACATTTGAAATACCAGGCACCTACTGTTTCTTTTCGGTTCTTTGTTGACCTTCTCTTTATTACGACCCTGGGGAGAGATAAAACAAACAAACAAACAAACAAACAAAAAAACCCTGGAGATAACAAATGACAAAACAAACAAACAAACAAACAAACAACCTGTGTCTTTTATCTGGGCCATTGACAGGCTGATTCTGTGCCCTGCACAAAGGATTATAAAGTTGAGGAGCTTTTTATTAATTTAATCGCCGAACTGCTTTCTCTACAAGCCACTTAGAGAGCACTTCGCAGAAGGAGCTAACCTGTGGTCGATGGCCAAATGAACTTTGACAGAGTCTCATTTGCTCTTGAACCAGACAAGCAGTTAATGGTTGGGGGAGAATGTGAAGCACTCGGAAACATTTGCTAATAGACACCGGAACACGTCTAAATGGGATATTTGTAATTAGATGTCTTTGGTTTGTTAGAATAGAGAGTTAATGCCTCTAGAAGCTTGACCTCAGAACGGATCAGTTAACCTTTTACCAGAAAATATTTATTCAATTCTGACGTTTAAGGAGGAAAATATAAATTTCCCAAGACATGCTAAGAACAGCCTTCAGCAAATTAGTGTCAAAAACACAAACCGTTTACAGTTCATACACTTGTGAAAATAATATAGCTGATACATGTGTAGATAATTATAACAATATCTATTCCTACAGAGTTTTTCCAAGGGGCCATCAGAAACACCAAGATGAGATTTTTGCTATGCTTGGGAGCCAGATCCAAGGTCACCCTCTTTACAAACAGCCTTTTCCCCAAGACTCTGGGAGATGTGCAGATCACATGGAAAGCACAGGGGAGTACTTGTCAGACCACCGTGTTAACTGTCATCGTTTTTGCATGAGGGTGCATTCTGTAGAGGCAGCGAGGTATAGCCGAGATACCCACTGTGTGAGCAACTCGGCAGGTTCTAATAAATCATTGCGTGGTCACGGCCTACGACGTGCAGAGGACTCCACATAAGCAAACATTCAGCTTCAAAAATAGTTTACCATGACTTCAATTAAAAAAAAAAAAACACTTTTTTTTTTCAAATTGTAATTACCCGAAGAAGCTTCTACAAGTTTAAGAACATGGTAACTATAATTAATAGTACTGCGTGTTCAGCTGAAATTTGCTCAGAGTAGATGTTAAACTTTCTCATCACACACACACAGTGTAACTGTGCGAGGTGGCGCCTGTATTATTTGCCCTGATTGTGGTGATTATGTTACGGCGTAGATGTCTAGCAAATCATCATGTCATACCTCTTGAATACATACAGTTTTACTTGTCAGGTATACCTCCATAAAGCTGGGCGGAAGTATAAGAAAAGAGAAAGAAGCCTACCTTGCAAAAAAATGAATCCCATACAGTGACTGTTAACATATCAGAGGACAGCCATGGTAATTTAGGAGTTTAAAAAAAAAAAAGTATGTATGAGGAGAAGGCTTAAATCGGGGACACGAATAACTACACAAAAACCTTGGAAAAGAAAACTGAATTTAAGCTATGGAAGAATACTTTTATTTCTATTAAAAGGTAGGGAAGATTTAAAAAGAATATTTGGGGTGGAGACCTCTGAATTATAATGAACAGATACAGGAAAGAAAACTTAAAGGATTTTTGGAAGACACATGATTCAAAGTGTTTGCACTGGGGATTTACCTTTCTCTGAGTGAAAGCAAGGTTTATACAGTTGGTATTAAATGATGAGATAGAATGGTTATAAGTTTACCAGTGACGCAAGCCCTTACAATAGTTTTAAGGATTTTAAGTGATATGGTTGCTGTTTGAATGACCACATCCACCTTGGACACCGTATGGTTAAAGATGGCAGGGATGCTGAGCCATGTGAAAAATATCTTCAAAAATTATTTGCAGGGACCTTCCTTGAGTTGACAACATATCTATCAAATTTTGGAGAAGAGGTATCGGTTGCACCTGGGTTCAGTTTATCTCAATGTTGATTGATGAACTCTGAAGTGATAAGAATGAGTTAAGAGGCAGCCAGGATGGATTTGTCATGGAATGAATGGCAGCATTTGCTATTTTAATGAGGAACCAGCTCGCAGACAAAATGAAATGGTGCTTACAAGTAACACGTGAATTCTGGCTCTGTTCACAGGGCCACAGCTAAGTCAATCAGCAAAGCTTCATTATTTGTTATTAGGTCCTGTGGTTTTGGCTACATTTCTCCTGTGACCTATTGCGTCCTATCTTTAGGCTCTTGGTTTCAAATGATGGGGGTGCACAACCTCATCCAAGACCTCAGAGATAGGAACCGTGCAAGGTACACATGTTTCTATAGACTTTGCCAGCAAAGTGTATCCAGGGAATAAAACAGCACATAGATACCTGAGTCAGATTCTGGATTTTTTTTTTTAAAGTACCTTGCATTTGATGTGGATCATACGCTAATTAAATCGTGCATAATGCTAAATTTTAAAATGTTGCTATGGATTTCCATTTGAAGAAGACCACTCCAGCCGAAAGAATGATGTTCAGACAATGGGCATAGGTTGAGAAACGGAAATTCAGAGCAGGAATCCCAGACCATTAATAAGGCGCCACTGACAGTGACAGAGAAGAAAATCCTATTCTGTTCCGATGAATACTTTAAACGTTCTTGTTTCCCTTGCAAATAAACAAATAAATAAATGCTTTGAAATATTCAGTCTCATTGAGAAAAACCCGATTAAGCAAAGAACCCACAACACCATTCCTCACCTTGAGAAATGTGTAGTCTGTGTAGGACAGAAACTAGAAAAATCTACGCGTAAGATACCACAAGAGACATGAAGAATGCATTGCTCACGGCACGGAAGAACATGGTGCCGACAGGCAAAGGGTAAATGAGGTATTCAGTCCACTCAAGCAGGATGGATAGTTTGTACGCAGGTGGAAGTGTGGCGTGACCTACAGAACGAGGTCCAGAAGATAGGTTGGCATCAGTGTTTCTGAATTTAAGAGCAAGAACCTTATACAGGTTTGTTCTTTATTGCCTGAGGGGAAATGATGCAATAGACCATGCTCATCTGGTTTCCCCAAAGAACGAAATGTCACAATGTGTGCTGTATCGGTAAGCCTACGGGTGTGTGTGTTGTATGGATATTTTTTCGATTCGGTGTAGCGAAGGCATGGCGTTTAATTGGAGAGGCGGTATAGCCTGAGGACGTCAGACTCTCGAAGTGACAAGTACAATGTATGTTGCTCTTTCTGCCCTCTCTTTAGCGACTCACTGGAAATAGCATGATACTCTGTATATGATACATGATAAATTTAGGATGTGTTGTAAACCATATTCCATTTATAATGCTATCAATAACTATTATCTGAACAGCTGTGTAATACATGAATGGAAAATACATTTAAATATTTATTTACGGGGTGCCTGGTGGCTCAGTCGGTAAAGCGTCTGCCTTCGGGTCAGGTCATGATCCCAGGGTCCTGGGATTGAGTCCCGCATCGGGCTCCCTGCTCTGCGGGAAGCCTGCTTCTCCCTCTCCCACTCCCTCTGCCTGTGTTCCCTCTCTCGCTGTGTCTCTCTCTGTCAAATAAATAAATAAAACCTTTAAAATAAATAAATATTTATTTACAAGTTGCATGAAGCATATAAACCCGCACAGGTGTATTTGTTTATTTAAATGAATTTAATTGTTTGCTGCTCCTAATTACACAGAATTAACTAAACATTAGGTATATATAAGTACGATCATATACTGTTATTACATTAAGTACTGATTGAATATATACAACTGTGTACACATTTATGACATATTATTTACAAGTATGTATTGCAATTTGTATATAAATTAATTTAAATATTTATAAATAATTGCTTATACCATCAAATTGTACTATATTACATGGTATATTTTATCTATCTACTTATTTTTAGGGACAGAGAAAAAGAAAGCAGGGGGAGTAGGGGCAGAGGGAGGCAGAGCATCCCAAGCAGACTCGGCGCTCAGCGTGGAGCCCGACACGGGGCTCAATCTCATGACCCTGAGATCACGACCTGAGCTGAAATCAAGTCAGACACTTAACGGCACGGAGCCACCCAGGCTCCCCTTCCATGGTATATTGAATACACATTATCATGTTTAAACCTAGAGATTTATTTAATACTCATTGTGATGTATATTTAATTTATTAATGTATCTAATACTCATGATCGGGTATGAATCTAGAGAGAGCATATGTAATACGTCAGATGTGTTTAGATAAACAGGATATTTGAGATAAAATTATATCAAACATGCGATCTATTAATTGATAAGCGTAATTGTAACTGTTACTGACAGGCTCATCACATAAGTCCATAGGTATTTATATACAATATAGGGAAGTGTAAGTATCAATAGTTACATAATACACACAGACACATGTGTACGTATGTTCCCGAGGAAGTCAGCTGTGACCGATGGGACTTAGCAAGTGGGATTGGCCAGAATGTGCGCACCCAGAACCTGAATATAATGAGTCAGGCCTTCAAGAACACAGGCGGTTGCTGACTAATGTAATAGCGCCTCCGGCGGGAGAACTAAGAGAGGCCTCATGAGCACAGGAGTCATGGTCGTATAGTCCATGCAATGTCCCAGCGCATTGGAGCGGGCCAGAGGGACTCACAAGGACATTCAGGACTAATCCCCAAGGACAGCTGGGAAGACTCGGTAGTGTGGGGTCTGGACAAAGAGGAATACGGGTGTCCATAATGATGAGGACCCACAGAAGGCAGGCAGGTCACAGGATGCAGTAGTACACACACACCCTTTGCGCCCCACAGTATCTTCGATTCTGAGCCCTAGAAGACCTCCTCAAACCCGTATACTGGAAGAGAATCCCTATGCAGGGGTGGAACACACTTCTCAATGTCTCTCAGCGATTTATCTGCCCCTTCTCCACGGAGAAGAATTTCAGAGTTGGGAGATGTGGGGCCACCATCCGCTCTCCGAGCATTTGAATATGTTTTCGAATTCAAAATATTCTGCATTTCAAGTCATGAATAGACCCCAGAAAAATCAACACGGTTTTTCTTTGCAAAACTCAGTAGCACAATACAATGACAGAAATGGCAAATGTTCTGCAGAATCCTTTTTGCCAAGGACGTATCGTTACAGTATCGACGATGACATTTTTCACATCGTTATAGTATCAACGACGACATTTTTCACAACATGGTAACTGTTTCTGCAGAATGACATAGTAGCAAGTGTAAGAAAGTCTGAATCCTTTGTGCTGGGAAGGAATCCCTCCTTCATAAATCACGAGTTAGTCAGTCTTTAAAGTGCATCACGTGTGTTTGCTGTGCATGATTTTCATTTCAGACGTTTGATTTCCACCAACCATGGAATTGTCCCCATAGTTTTTAATCCAAAACTGAGACAACTGGCACACACTCACAAAAACTACTTTACTCACAGTTACTCAAGGAATTACAGTCCTGTTCACTAAAGAGAATTTAGTAAGGAGTTTTGACCCCCCTCATGTGTACGGGCGATTTGAAACCATTTGACACTTTAATAGATCACGATTTAATAATGTTAGTTTGAAGCTGACTTTCAGTGAACACTAGGAAATATAATGTAAGTGGTATACATATATGACATATAATTACAGCTCACCTAAAAATTGCAAGTAGTTCCTTGACTCCTTTGATTTGCAGGACTGTCCCAGCAACACTAACATTATTACTGGTAAATGAAAAGTAAGAATCTGGGAAATGAGTGGGTATCAATAGCATTCTATGTTTGCATAAGTGCTTTTAATGAAGTATTAATCAGTGATACCAGGTTTGTAATTACAAACTTCTCTGGACTTTCAGTCTGTCAAGTGACATAAGTAAATCCCATGTGGGTACACATTATGCAGTGTATCTAAATGTATATATATTTGGAAACATTTTCTTGCAGAGTATATGGAGAGGTTAGTGTTCTGCAGAATATTTTAAAAGAGCATTTACATAAGTGCCTCCTCAGGGCCATGAAGGGATGTTTCTGTGGAGATACCCCAATCCACACATATTTAGTTACCACCTGCCTTGTCATTGAGCCTGGTTGCAGCTATGGAGATATAATTACCGTTTTTGAGAAATTTCCCCACCAGCAAGAAGAATACAGTCACAAACTCTCTAAAATGAAGCCGGTTGCACATGGGAAGGGTACACGGTGCGTCTCCTTGCAGACTAATCTACAAAGTCCCGTCACATTGCTTATCACCTTCATTCTATGTGTGTTGCTTTCCTTGTTGCTTTTCTTTTCAAGATTTTTATTTTATTTATTTGAAAGAGAGAGAGAGCACAAGCAGGGGAAACCACAGAGGGAGAGGGAGAGGGAGACTCCCAGCAGAGCAGGGCTCCATCGCAGGACCCTGGGATCACGACCTGAGCCGAAGGCAGACACTTGACCGACGGAGCCACCCAGGCGCCCCTGTTTTCCTTATTTCTAAAAGGAGATTGAGAAAGTTCATTTTTTCAGCCTCCCGTGCCAATACCTGGGTTCCTTATCCTGAATCTCAGTATACCCATCCTTTCTGTCTTGTCTCTTTTGCAACTCTGTGTATGGACCTCTTAACATGAGTTTTCCAAACATACGTTTTTGCATTTGTCACTAAAAATTGTCTGCTGCGTAACCCAGATACAAAATGGGGTCCTCGGCTTGATTCCTTCATGGTGGATCCCGTGCCAGCTATAGATCTTGTTGCTGCGGAGTCTCCTGCTCCGGAGGGTGGCTCTCAAGTCCTGGAGGTCTTGCTTGCTTTCTCCCCTGGGCATCCTGCAAGCTTCTCTGGATTGGCGCCAGTTCTGAGAAGGGCTGCTCTGCGGCGGTGGCCAGTAGGCGTCAGGTCATAGGTACTCAGCAGATTTTGTTTCTGACAATGCTGACCTGGGGCATTGGAACCAATCTCCCGATTCCCCACATGTGGGTGTGTTGCAGGCTGGGACAAGAGGCGCCCTCTGCATTTCTCATAAACCCAGGCTATCCACCTGCCTCCCGGCAATGGGAGGGTAAACGTTCCTCTGACTTTCTCAACTGCATTATCCGTCTCTCTCTGAGTCACACGGTGAGGGCCCTGAACGGATCAGCCCTTGGACTTTGTCTTTTCAGTTGGGCCCTCATCTTTTGTTCCACGTAAATCCTTTCAACAAGCAGTATGTGAGTGCAACGTCTGTTTTCCACACCCCCCAAACTCGCATAAAGACCGCGTGCAAACACCTTCTGGGTCTTCGTCCCTAGAGACACTCTGGGCACACGTAAGCCCTCAGTTTAGATGAATTTCTGGGATGTTAACATGCACACTCGAGGATTGTGGTTTAAGAGAGGACAGGGTTTAGAGAACCGATGCTAGAAGAGATGATCCGATGGGCAGGATGGCGCTGGATCTGGCCGATCTCTTGGTGCATATCACAGCAATTGGTGGCTCTTCTAGATACCTCTTGTACGTGGAATCATGCAGAATCCATCCTTCTGTGACTGGAGCATCATGTCCTTAAGCTTCATCCATGTCTTCATGTGTAGAAACATCGCCTTCTTTTTTAAGGCTGATGGATACACCATCGTGTGCATACGCAACTTTCCTTGATCCTCCTGCAAGGCACACTCACGTTGTTAGCACGTCTTGGCTATTGTGAGTCATGCTGCACTGGACACAGATCTCCTAGAGACCCTGATTCCAGTACAATGGTGGTTGTCAGGGACCAGGCAGAAGGGGAGACAGAAACAGGTACTACCTGCTGCTGTTGAGCAGGTGTGTAGCCTGCACCATGCAAATCTGCTCTACAAGTCCGTGTGTACGGTTACCGATAGTGTGCACTTGAACATTCAACAGGAGGGCAGATCTCACGGAAGCGGTTCTTACCAGCAATGACTCGGTTCGAGTAGCTTGTTCACCCATATCACGTGTTCCCCAACAGATTT